TGCCCTTGTACTGTTCACCATGTAAGAACTTATTCACTATGTAAGAATTCATTCACCATGTAAGAACTTGTTCGTTATGCTTCAGAAGATTGGAGACTGATGAGAATTAGGCTTGAGATGGATTAATGATTGTGCATTGAGCATTGACCCCCCTATACAGAATTTTATTGTTGTTAACAACCATTTGATCAATAAATATGAGAGATGCTCTCTCAAAAAAAAAAAAGTAGAAACCTTTCGGAATGGCCCATTTGGAGAAAGTGGTAAGAATCAAACAGCAGAATATTATAGGAGAGGTCTCCCAAAATGGCAGCCTATGAGCTGAATCTCTTTGACCCACACAACGTTCTTAGAATTTCAAAATATGTTTCCAGTATTTAAAATCAGAATATTTCACACGATAACCTAGACTTCTAATTTCTCTCAAAAGAAGAGCACCCTTGCATGATGCTGAACAGCATCTACATCTCCTAGCTGGTGCACGCCCTCTCGGTTCACCTCGCTGGCCTGTCCCTCCTGTCCTGAGCCTAAGCGCCAAGCTCCTTCTATCAACGTGCTTGTACTGTTATTTTTCTTACAGCAGAGGGAAGGAAATGATATATTTCTTGTACCTATGCCCTTACTCCAGGTAAAAAACCAAGACGGTCACCTGCTTCAAGAAAGAATTTTCTTATATCAAGCCCACTTCATTCACCTCCCAGGCCTTCAGCACAAGGTCACATTATGCCTTTGGTGAGCTATAGGCACTTTTGTACCTTCATGGGACCCTTACTTCATAAAAATACTAAAAATCATGTTTCATTCCCACATTGGTATTAAAGGCAGATATATTCATATTAGATATTAAAATATTTTCTCTGATATAAACTTTTTCTTTTGATAAAAGAAATTTTAAAATTTCATAGGTCATTAAAAATACCATGGACCCTAAGCATTGTGGCCACCATGGCTAATGGATAGGTCAGCTCTGCCCCCATGGACATTTGAGGTTTGCTGGGAAATTGTTTGATTCTCAATTCACCTGTACCAGCGTGGGACACACAGTCCATTATTACAGGTGAAATCATTTTCAGAGCAAGATCTCCTGGTGCAATTTTGATACTCATCATAGCCATCGGCACAATCTGCATCACCATCACAGACCCAAGATTGGGGGATGCACCTCCTGGATGGAGGCGCGCTGTTTACACAGAAAAATTCCAAACTTGAGCAGGTGTGACTCTCTGAAAACAAAGGACACAAGATTCAGTAACCACCTGAGAGCTCATTCTAGCAGTTAAATTCATTCTGACAGTCATTTTTCCTGCTTATGTTACTTAACAGTCTGCACCTGAAAGAACATGAGAGTAAATCAGGTAGACAAATCACATTGCTGTAGTAACATTATATCATAATAAAAATACCTTCAAAAATTCCATTTTAATTGCTCTGGACCTTAGATTTTTCCAGAAATAAGAAATAAACATAATAAAACACCTCATTTACTTTTCCATAAAATTAATGTAATATATTTTTCTCTCAGAGCTTCAGAAAACTATTCCCATTTTGTTAATGAGATACCAAAAATGTCTTACATTTGGCATCATGTTTTAGTTTACACAGTGTAATCACACAAACAGAATGTGAGGAGGTATTGTTATGCCAATTCTACAGATGAGAAAAGTGAAGCTCAAAATAACCACATGGCTCCAAGTCACAGAAATTTCTAAAGACCTAGGGCTTCAAACCTAGGTCTTTTTTCTCCAAATGTAGTGCTTTTTCAACTATATTAAGGGACCACCCATGTAGAATCAGAGCATATAGGAGGGATGCATGTGAGCAAGAGTTGTCGGAAACCATGACACTGTTAGGAAAGAGATAAATGCTAATATATAATCATTAATGCCCACAGAATAAAAGAACAGGTATTGTCTTATCCAATCTCACTGTGGGTGAATAAAACACAAAAGGATAGAGTCTTGCTGATGGAAGGTGGGAGAAAAGTACATGCTATAGTACATGATTGTACAGCTGCCAAACACCCATTTCAGTGAAGAGAGTATATGTGGAGTTACTTATCTCTTTCCTGGACCACCACCAAAGTCAATGACATATGAGGTTAAAATCAAACACAAATATCAGGGAACCATTGTTTTTATTGCTCTACCATTGAAAAACTGTCTTCTAAGACATCTTAATTCAGGCTTCCATGCTCTGTTGGTCATGGAAAACAGTTCTCCCTGATCTGTCCCATAATCCACTTAAAAGGAATAGCCCTCCATCCATTCCCTCCCCCAGATGACAGCACTTAAAGAACAGGTGAAACTGGAGGCAAGTTGATCCTCATACTGTGAAGGATGTTACTACGTATGACCAAGTCCCCTTTATCTGCTCTAGAAGTGTAGGAAATTATTTCCACTAGAATTATTTCCACTACATGCAAGAGAAAGAAAGTAAATATTAAAATCATTTCTCATTTTAACACATTTAAGTGGATTATATCAAGCAATTCTACAGTACAAAAATAAAGGTAACATTCTATCAGTGTACATTCAATTAAAGAGGAATCTGCCTGACAATCATACTCTCCAAGACAGAAAAATACATCTCCTGTGTCCCCATGAATGTAAGTCTGCAGAGGAATGAACAGCCTCACTTACCACAGTGGTGCCTTTCATCCTCATCACTCATGTCCCCACAGTCATTATCACCATCACAGATCCATGCTTTTTGGATGCACCGCCCAGTGTCACACTGGAACTCATCACTTAAGCATTCTGGATCATGATACACTAAAAAAGATAAAAAGCACTTTCAGTGAAAAGAGTGGCTTGAAAGCCAAAAATCTTTAGAGAAGCTTGCTGTACTTTGGGCTGTGTAGAAAACTTGAAACAGAGCATTATCTACTTTTGTAAAGCTATGCTAAGTCCTCCAAGAAGACTCACACCAGTGACCAATGGTTTGAGATTAAAGTAGTTGATTGACAGTGCAAAGCCCTAGTTGCTTTTTCTTATTAGGATGACATTTGGTATTCACTTACAGGTATGACAGAGAAAACAATTTTTCCCCAAGGGGATATAAATTACTTATTTCACATCCTTCCATTATTGAATCTACTTTTCACCCAAAAGCATTTTGTTTGCTGCAAACCATCCCCCCAGAATGCCTGACCCATTTCCCTTTCTCCATAGCACTGATCACCTGTCAACATATTCTACAATTTACTTATTTGTTTTATTTGTTGTCTCCCCTCACTAGAATATAAGCTCCATGTGGTCAGGGATCTTTGTGTTATTCACTAAGATATAGCCCCAAAGTACCTAAAACAAAAGTGTAGTTAATGAACTAAAGTGGTAAGTCCCCCTTATGCTTTAAGTTAGTCATCACTGACTCAAATTCTTTAATCATATCCCCACATGTCCTTATTCAACTAATCAAACTGTCATAGGCCCATGTCTTGCCAATGGGTTTCAGCCCCGGGCAAGTTTGCTATGGATTCACTGTGACCAAAGAAATCTACAGCAAAACGTTCTTGGGGTGAAAGGGTTTATTACCCAGCTTGTTCTCCGGTGGTAGGTCAAGCATTAGCAACTCTGCCTCCGCCCAGCGCACTGGGCCGAGCTCTCTATATAGTGCAATAATAGCTTATTGCATAAAGGTGTGGAAGCGGCAGCCCAGCAACAGGCCAGTTACATCATCAGGTGGTTTAAGTTCAGTGAGGATCCTGGCCATAGGAACCCCAGCTTCCCCACAGCACATAAACCCAGGGACCTCTCAAAATTGGCCTACGGCAAAAGTAAATTTAATTTGTATTTTTAATAGGTTAAAAATACAACACAATGACAACATTAAGTAGAAACAGGACTTTTCATAAGCTGGTAAGAAAGATGTTGTGGATAAAATGAGAGCTCCTCTGGCCAGGATTCTTACCTGGCCGTGGTTGACTAGCTCACTGCACACCTGTGGGCAATACATGGCTGTTGACTCTATAAAAAGAGCTCTACCCAGTGCTCTGGGTGCAACATGGTGGCAGGGCTGCAAGGCTGCAGGAGAGCAGAGCAGAGGCTGGAGTGGTGGCAGTGCGGAGGACAGAGGGGCCCAGAGGCAGAGGCTGACTTGCTGCATGCAGACTCACTCTGAGTGAACAGGATTTTAGTGACTGACCTGCCACCTGGAAATAAACTTGGGTATAAGCCTTTCACCCCAAGAACGTTTTGCTGTCAATTTCTTTGGTCACACTGACTCCACAGTGAACTTGCCCAGGGCTGAAACCCATTGGCAAGACACTAGCCTATAAGAATCTTCCCACATATGCACAAAGAGGTTTCTAAAAGGATGTGCAATTCAGCATTGTTTTTCACAGTGAAAAAAAACAACCTAAATGTCTATTAGGAAAGGGATAAAAACACATGGAACATCCATATTGTAGAGTAATATTCAGCATGTCAAAAGGATGAAGTGGATCTGTATCTGCTAACATGCTAACAAAACATTAAACTGAAAAGAGAGGGGAGGGCAAATTGCATGGTAATATCCCATTTGTGTTTTAAAAACTATATTAGCATATATAGTTTAAAGTAAGGAGAATTCACACTCACCCTTCACAGTGATTAGCTTTGGGCAATGAAGGGATTGGAGAAAGATGGAGAACTATTTGCTGGGAAATTGTTTGATCCTCAATTCACTTCCTTTTTTTTGGAAATTTAATTTTTTTGTTTATATCCCATGACTTCTTTAAAATAATACCTCTGCTTATTAAGAAAATATATTCATATATGGAATCTGTGTTTATTTTTATTTAAATATGACAGGCAGTTGGTACTAACTGCTACTGCTACTTTGGTTCCCATGGAGAAGTTTGGAAGTTATATTTATTCTTCATATATTTGAACCAATCATTCATATATCTAAATCAATGTCTAAGACTATCCTACTCACCTAACATTTATAAACATTTCCTTTACAGATGCTTAAAATTCTGTGTGCTCTTGCTTTCTGTAAGACTTTCAGTGTTGGGAAAAAGAATTTGGTAGAGTTTCAAATACCACTCTCAAACTATTAGGCACAGAATTGGAACCTGAGAGAAAATAGGAATAAAAAGTATTCTGAACTCAGCTGTAAAACTATGATAATTGTCCTAAGAAAATATCTCCCCAAATAAAAAGTTTCCTATATGATGATATTTAAGGCAGCAAAAGTTATAATAGAGGAAAAAAGTAAAACAAGCTAAATACTTAAAATAGAAATACTTACTGATAATATAGCCACTGAAATATCAGGCAGCCATTAAAAAGGAGTATGAAGCCTGTGACAAGGATCGGCAAACTTTCTCTTAATCAGACAGTAAGTATTTTAGGCCTAGAGAGGTCACATGTTCTCCACTGTACCTACTTGACAACTGCCATTGCAGCAAAGAAGAAGACATAGACAATATGCTGATGCATTCTAATAAAATTGTATTTATAAAGAAAGCCAGTTCATGACCATAGGTTACAGACTATTGACAAATAAAAAGGAAATATAGAAGATTATATCTTTATATGTTTGCAATTACATAAAATAGTGTGAATGGATACAGATGAGAAGTTGCAGTGGTTAATAGCAGCCTCTGGAAATACAAACAGGCACAACTGCCTCCAGGAATATATTCAGAGGGTCCCTGGAACATCTTGGGAAACTCAGATGGCCATGGGACCTTACCTTGTAAGCCAGCAACCAGACAGAACAGAAAGAGGATGTGTGCCTGTAAAATGCCCCTTCCCCACACACATGAGGGTTTCAATCACTTTTGGACCTTTCCCACAGACTCATGGACCAGAAATCAGTCAAATTCAGAAATTCCAGTTCACAGTCTATCAAAATTAATTGAGTTCTACAAGCTAGCGCCAGTACTTGGTACATCACCAACATAATCTCACTTCATCAGCATCAATCAGCAACCTCCATATCCTGACTGGCTTCCCACACATTACCTGCATGAACATGCTTTTAATGAATGTCTGCTAAGTGGTTTCAGCAGCTGAGAGTAAGAGCAAAGACTGCAAACATTCAGCAGCCACGACCACAGTCTACATTTGGAAGTAGAAGGAGGAGGTTTTCTAGCTGCATCATAAAGCTTTTCGGGCTTGCTTACTCTCTTACCACAAGTGTTAGGTTCATCAGAGCCATCATCACAATCTCTGTCTTGATCACAGTACCATCTTTCAGGAATACAGCGTCCAGATGTGCAGTGGAACTCACTGTCACTGCATGGTTGAGTGGCTAGAGGAAGGAAAGAAGATAAGATCCATGAGCAAAACACAACTGTCTTCTCAACAGTCTTAACAGTCTGCCTGTATCTCTTCGTTGGGTGATGGCTGCTGAGAAAGGAAGACTGGGGCATGCGGTATCTGCTTTTGTATAAGCTCTCCATGGGGAGGGAGAAGTATGGAGGAGAGAGAAGGCAGGCAATGCCTCTCCAGTTTTCGAGAATTGCTTTTCAGATACCAGAAATCCAAAAGTAAATTGTTTTTGTTAGAGATACTAAAGAACTGTAATTTTGATACATGAAGTCACAAATGACATAGAAGATTTGGATCTATTTTCTACTATAACATAAAATTTTTAAAAATCTGTTAAAACACTTAAAAGCAAAAGTGACAATATGACCAGATCTGAAATCACCCACACACCGGTTTTTTGTCAACCATGTTAAAACATGATTCTGGAGCATTAGCAAAGTTCTGCTCTTATCCTTGTTACACAGGACCTTACCTGGGTACGTGGCCCTGCCTATGTTCGAATATTGGTTCTTTTGCCATGTGACTTTAGGCAGGTCTGGTCAGATGTGTTTTCTAAATTATTATGTGGGCACCAACCAGAATCAAGTTCTATAACTTCTGGTGTACAAAGCTCCCTTGTTTTGGCTCATGACCCCTGGTGATTCACCTAGAAAAATTAGTAAGGAAGCAGAAACATGGCCTCCAATCTGTCTGCCCCTATCTGGGAACTGCATCCAGATTCTGCTTCCTCTTGCTGCTCTTAGCATGACTGTCTCTTGCTGTTGGACTGTAGCTGGGCCTAGTAACAATTACTAAATTCTTAAATTATGTATCAATTTATACTAACAGACTCAAGGTTATCAACCTTAAGAAAGGACTTTGAATTTTAGCTATAATACAGGACATTGATTGAACCAAGTTGCTAAATATGAAATAAACATTTCTGAAATCCAAACATATTAAAAAGATAGACAAATTTTTTAGTTACTAATAGTCCCTATAATCAAACTAAGACTAAATACAAGGGCTTGACATGCAAATTCTGCCTGGAGTTTCTGAAGGCAAAAGAAACTCTGGACTAAATGGCTCTACAGTATGTAGAATGTCAGGTATCAAAGCAGGTAGGTCTCTGGAAGAAATATTTGGTGTCAGGCCGCCCAGTCAGAGAACAGAGAAAAGGGGCTTCTTATGCTCCTCCAAACACAACCTAAAGTAACTCCTTACTGCATCTATATAGAAGGTCAATTTGAGATGACAAATTGGAATTAGCCCAAACCCCAAAACCATCTACCATTGTATTAGCTCAAGACCTAGGTCCCTAGAACCAAAGAAGAGAAGCAGGTTTGTCTTACAGCAGAAAATGGGGTTTTCATCGCTCGTATCTCCACAGTCATTGTCTCCATCACACAAGTAAAGACGATGAATACAAATATTTGTAGTCAGACATTTGATCTGTCCAGGGTGGCAAGTGCGATCAGCTTGAAAAAGATAACCAGATAAACATTTGGAACATATTGACCACATACATGTCATGAAGAATATCTACACTAACAGCAGAACTCAAACACCTGAAGAGAGCCATTTTCATAGTTAACACGGAGGCATGATCCATTTGTGTTACACCATAGGTACAATGGTAAAAAGAGGTATTTCCAGCTAATACTGTTGGTGGGGGGAAGAGCATGGAGAGGAGGGGAGGCTTGCTTTGTAGTTCAAATCATGTTTCTATTATTTAATAGCATCAACAAGAGTCCCAACTCCTAGTTAAATAAACTATAGCATACCCACACAGTGGAGTAATATGTAGCTGTAAAAAGGAATGAAAAAGGTCTCTCTTTCTAAGGAATGATGGTTTGATCTCTAGGATAGATTTTTAACAGTAACAAGGCACTATTCAAAACATCAGGTTATCTTTTGTGTAAGAAACATGATGCTGCTGCTGATGATTTGTGTGGACGTGTGTGTGTGTGTGTGTGTGTGTTTATAAGAGAGAGAGGGAGAGAGGGGTGCTTGTATTAAAAACATTATCAGTGAAAAGATAAACTAAAGAAAACTGTCACCCCTGTGGATAGATTGAGAATAGTATGGAGAGAGCAGGTGGAAACGACAAGGAAGAAAGACTTCATGAATGTACCTTGTCATATAATTTTTAACTATGAATCCAAATACATTATTTTGTAAAATTAAAAACAATGAAATAAAAATGGAAAAAAGAAGGCAACTCCTGAAATTTGGAAACAATAACAAATGAAGCTAACAGCAAATCAAAATAACAGAGAAGACAACTTAGCAGGGCTCCCACTGGCCTAAGATAGGACCACTGAGCACCAAAAAGAATAAATGACTTCACTGCATTGAAACTCATCAAATATGTAAAAATCCATGAGTTTACCATAATACTAAAAACAAAACAAAACAAAAACTTAGAACTCTTTGGTCACCAAGTTATTACTCTGAAGACTGACAAAGGAAAGGAACAAATCAAGTATTTATCCTGCAGAATGGTAGTCGAAGGTAACAAAAGTTGATAAGGGACATTTCTTCTTCATGGGGCTTCAGGGAAGGAATAATAGAATTTTAAAATGCTTATTTTATAACCCTCAAAGAAATAATGGATTTATGTAATAACCACCCATGAATGCTAAAGCCATTGGATGAAAGGTTAATGGGAAGTTCCTAAGGGAAGATTCAGGCTCACTTCCAAATCCACTAATTAATCATATCATCATTTAAAGTAGAACCACCAAATAATATGCGCCTCAGGATACAATACAATAGGAAATATACAGCTCCATCTATGAAGAATTTATACCCAAAGAATTGAACTTAATGCAATCAAACACCTAGGTATAAATTCCAATTAATAGAAAATAAGAGGGATAAAATAACAAATTAAATGGCTCAGTTATTAAATGACTCAGTTATGCAGCCATCCAGAATGTGGTGCATTCCACAGGACAAATGTGGCATTAAAAAAAAAGTGGGCACTGCTGTGGCATAAAAGAGATTAAAGAGTTCTAATCACCAAAATCAATGTGTAGACCTTGTCTGAATCCTAATTTGAAGAAGCAACTGTAAAATACATTTGGAGGATAAGTGAAAAAATATAGATTGAGTACTCAAGAATATTAAGGAATATCATTGATTTTGCTAACATTACAATGGCATGGTAGTTGTTTTTCAAAATGTCATTATTAGTAACATGTAAGTCTGGGAGTTGCTTTAAAATAATCAGAAAAAAGCTTGGGGGAGATGGATGAAATAGATTGACCATTTGTTGATAAATGTTGAAGCCAGGTAATGGCCATGTTATACTATTCTTTCTACTTTGGTGTATGTTTGAAATTTTCCATAAGAAAAAGTTCTTTTTAAAAAACACACCCAAGTAAATAGTGTGAAACTCTACCTACAAAAGCACTGGAGCATGTAGATACATCCAAATTGAAAACACTTGAATTTACACTCTGCTCTTTTGTTTTCCCAAGATGGTAAAATTCAAATCCCAGAAATCTTGAAAACATCAACTAGCTAAAAAGAAATTTACCAGAAAAACCAAAGAAACAAATAATTTCAGTCAGCACTATACTGTGTAGCTTTTTCCATAACAAACATTAACCACAACATATTTATGCAATAATTTTTGTCAGTAACTAATGGTAAGGCTTTAAAACAATAAAAAATTGTGTTCAGTGGATTTTTTTCATGCAAGTATTTATATTTTGAATGACAAATATAAAAAACAAAATAATTAAAATTAAATCAGTATAATAAGGCCAAGAAAAAGGGAGACACAACTACATTGACATGAAAGTTCTCATTGAACTTCAAATTTGGTTTCATGAATTGTTCTTTCTTGTTTAGATGTCTTTGCTGTTAATTCCACATATCAGATCTCTGTCATGTGAAAAATTAAAATAACGATTTAACAATTTCCAATTATTAATATTTATTTTGAGGAAAATGAACACAAATACTTAAATATAGATTTAGGGGATTCACACACTTTCTCCTATGTACAGATAAAAAGCAGAAGAGTAATGTAGCCTCTGGTTACTTTCAAACACTGAACAGTTTTAAAAACCAGTCCACTTTCCCCTTCAAAGATCTGAAAACAGAGCATGAACTCAACCCATATTTTTTTTCTACTTGCCTGACATCAACCATAGTGACTAAAGCTAAAGGTTGCTTTAAACTAATACTGTATTCCTCAAGTATTCTTAAACTAATACTGTATTCTTAAAGTATAAAGGAGATAGAGTTGGCATCCAGGCAAAAAGAAACACCCTATTGATCCCTGAAGAGACATTAAGAAAGCCGAAGATCACATAAGCAGTCTGTTTGGCAGTGGCGACAGTGCAAGGAAAAGCTATTATTAAACAGGACTTTGCCCACCAGGATACAGGAATCTGCTCACAGAATCTCATTTTGCTATTGCAATATTATTTTTGTTTTCCACAAATTGGATAATATGCATCGGTAAGACAAGCAACATTGCTCTTCAAACAAATAAATAGTGGGTAAAAGAACTGATAAGTGATTAGCAAAGTCAGATCTTTGGTCAAGGACATCACAATATATATAAATCACATAAGATTGCCAAAGTGCCTACAGGACCACTGGGCAAGTCTTTGGGGAAAATGCTATGAGAGTAGCTCTGTAAATGCATGTTACACCTTGGAAGCTCCTAATAATGTGGGGGTAAAAAACATGTGCATACACATGCATAATGCTTTATTATCATAATGTTCCAAATTCTAAAAAATACATGTTTTTTGACTGGCATAAGTTGTCTCTATGATACAAGCAAATTACCTGTTTTTCTAGCTTACAAATTTGGAAGAGCTTTTTTGTAGATTAAGAGTATGCACTGGAAAAAAGGATATATTATTTTCCAGGAACCATAATCATTAGAAGCTTTTGGAGGATAGAAGAGATTTTTGTAAATTGGTAATGTAGATCTCAGTAATTCTGAGAGTTTTAGTTCCTCCTTAACAGAAAATGTTGAATTTTTCCTCTCTAGTGAAAAGGTATGGACTAGAGACAATGACTCTTATTTAGGGCTTTGAATTAAACTTCTAAAATGGCTTTACAATCCAGTGAATGTCTGGGAAGTCCCTCTTCCATTCCCTCTCACTGTGTATAATAATGTCATTATTCTGAATAATGTTTTTTCTTTAACTTGCTTACTTAATTTCTGGTCTTAGAGAGGTACTGTGAGTTTCCCTTATGCCTACTGTGTCAAGGCAAGAGGAAATGTCTCAGAAAAGCCTTCCACTCTTGTTACTCAGAGACCAGCAGGAGGCATCATCTGGGAATGTCCTAGAAAATCAGAATATGGGTTACACCCCATCCTACTGAGTCAGACTCTGCATTTCAACAAAACTCCAACTGATGCAAACACAAAGTAAAGTTTAAGTAGCATTGCCTAAAAGCACATCCACTCTTCCCTTCCAGGGATTTTTCTCCCTGGCTGTTCTTCGATTTAGAAAGAAGTGTAGCATCTCTGTGAAACAGTGGCCCATTTTCAGACAGACATTAAGTAAAGGTAGTATTTTTTATTTATAGTAATCTACTTTTTATGTATATGACCTACTTCACTGTCTGAAGACATCCATTCAGGGTAGGGGGATTAGTTTTGTTATAGCTGGATTGTGAAGAAAGAGGGAAAGGAAGAGTTAATGTTCAGCCTACAACATCCAAAATAAATTTTTTAATTCTGCAAAAGATACGGCCTTTTTGTTAAGTGAATTTTTAATCTGGCAGATATATATACTAAAGGTAAAATATTTAAGGTTAAAATTCAATGGTTGTATGGATCCATAAATTTAGATGATTCAAATATATTTGAGTTGTTTCTGAAAATCAAGTTGATTTAAACAAAAGTGAAGTTTATGTTTTAGATGAATACTTAGTTCTTTTTTTTTTCCAGAAAGCTTTTATCTTTACATAAAAATTCCATCTCCCATGATCTAAGACTTCAGACCCCAAAGCACAATAAATACTTAATGTGAACTTACGGCAGTTTTTCTCATCTGAAGTATTATTATCATGGCAGTTGTTTACACCGTCGCAGACAAGGTGAAGAGGGATGCACTTTCTGTTACCGCAGGTAAACTCCGCGGTGGCGTTGCACTCCCTGAACAGGCACCCTGCCTCGTCGCTACCATCAACACAGTCGTTATAGTGATCACAGCGGTAACGATACGGGATGCATCGCCCATCGGCACAGGTGAAGGCAGTCGACTGGCAGGTGTGAAGCGCTGAGAGGAGGAAAAAACACTTAAGAAATACTAACTAAAGCATCATCCTAATTTCTAAAAAGACACAGTCAAATGAAATGGATGCTTTGAGTTTACCAAAGCAAAAGCATCTGCAAAGCGGACTGCATGCGAGGTAAGATGACACCTTAAATCAGTCAGACTAAGTAAAATGTGTTGGATACATTTTTTAAGAAAATGAAGTATTTTAAACAAATGTCAAAGCCATTTCAATTCTCTAACATCTCTATGTAAAAGTTTATCTGCATCACAGAAAATCATGCAAATTCAATTTCTTTGGGGAAAATAAAACTCTTAGCCACTACATAGTCTACTAGAAAAAGATAACTTTTTTAGAACATCCTAAGTAAGTCTACTGTGTTTTACTCACCTATTCAAGTAGAAGCTGAATATTGGGAGTGATTTCAACGAAATTATTGAATTAATGATCCTTTTGCTATGAAAATTCATAAAGAGGTAACAGCACTTACTGCTATTCTTAGCTCCACGCTGAGCCATGCCTAACATGCTCCAAGCCCCATGCTGTTTTTTATATATTGTTTCTGTTATTGCTTACAAGAATCCTAGTGATAGCTCCATTTTACAGGTGAGATGTCTGAGGCTCAGAGAGGTTTCCTAACTTCCCCAGAGCTGTAGATTGAAAATGACATAGCCAGGGTTTTAATTCAGCACCAATGCTCTTAACCACGACCAAGGTACTTCCTAATAAAGCATCATGTACTCCAAGGAATGGATCAGCTCATATGAGACGTAACAGAAACGTGGTCTGGATTCTCAGAGTAAATGTTTCTCAGTTCTAACAGGATGCTGAGGCACAAATTGCAAACCTAATCGCACATGGGAGGATTCTGTACCAAACACTTGGCGTAAAGACGTCATCAGCTCCTAACAAAAGTCCGACTCACCACAGACAATTGTAAGCTCATCACTGCCATCACCACAGTCATCGTTATGGTCACACAGCAACTGCTCCGAGATGCAGTGCCCGCTGAAGCAGGTGAATTTGGAACTATCACACCGTGTTCCACTGTCCACAATGCAGTGCTTATTGTTGTTGGCCAGATACCAGTGGCCTGGATGGGGACACTGGCACTCAGCACCATTTGGACCTGAAGAAAGTAGGACCAGAAAAAGCAAAAAACTTGGGTAGCAGCCATGCATATTTTCTCCTCCATAACAGCAGTGGCAACAGCTTCTTTATTAAATTCATTATAAGATAAGCCATGGAAACTCTTCCCATCAACCTTTCAGCTATATTCTGACTTATTTTTCCATGAAGAACCACCACCAATTCTAAAAAATGTAGCTAATTCACCCTAATCTTATTTATTTATTTATTTACTTACTTATTTAATAATTTTTACTGAGGTATAGTTGACAACAATACTATATTCATTTCAGGTTTACAACATAGTGATTCAACATTTATATACATTATGAAATGCCAATCACACAGTAAGTGTAGTGACCATGTGTCACAATACAAAGTTATTACAATGTTATTGACTTTATTCCCTGTCCTGTACTTTTCATCCCTGTAATTTACTCTAGTCTTTAAAAACTACCTCTTGTCTATACTGAAAAAATAGAAATGATTCTTCTCAGCAAAATCTGCAAAGCAAGGGTATCAAAAGATACATTTTCCTATAAATTAATGGTTCCTTACACAACAGATTATGAAACACATAATATCACACTCCAAAATATCATCAGAAATACTTTAAAGTATAAACAGTACCTCCTAAGTGGAAGAATGAAATCCTTTAGTAAGGAAGGTAAGTTCATTGATGGAATTTCTATTTAAGTCATCAAGTGTGGCAACCAAAGGCCCCCACCTTCCTTTCTGTTTTCAACAAGCTTGAATTTAAAATGCTTCCGTAAGAGGGCATAGTGAATGGAAATGAAACCTGTCAACGTCTCCCTCTTAGCATACAAACCCCGAAGTCAGTTTTCTGAATTGCCCTGAAACCAAGGGGAATGTGGATTTCTTCTCCCCTGTCAGTCTGGCCCACTGCCATCCTCATCATTATCACCCTACATGATTCTGTTTTCATGGGTGATGCCTTACCTGCTGTACAAATATGGCTGCATCCACCATTAAACTGATTGCAAGGATTGCTGCACTGCTGTTGCTGGTCCTTCACAACAACGCAGATACCCTTAGGCCGGGAGGAAAAACTTGGAGTCATTGCCATTTGACCTGACCCATCATATTTGTTAGCTCGGTAAATTTTTTTTGTGTACCAGTCAGTCCAGTAAATATACTGGTCATAGAGAGTCAAGTCAAATGGATGAAAGGTAGTGCTGACAATGACCTCACGCTCTGTGCCCATTAGAGTGCAGCGTTCAATCTTCTGCCTAAAATGAAGGTAAAAAAAAAAAAAAAGAGATGGAATCCAAAATAATGAGCTCCTCAATTAGCAGCCCAATGCCTGGGCCTAACCATTGCTTTACATAAGCTCCCTGCTTTATTTTTAAGTGCAGTATATGGCAGCAAGAAGTGTTTCTTCTGGTGGTGGAAAGTCTTAATTTGCTTGTCAGGCAATGCCCTATATAAATCATTGATTCCAAATATTAATATAACCTACAAGTAATCCTATGAAAAGGAGCAGGCTGACATGAGAAATAGAAGAACTATGTGAAATAACATATGTACTACCCAGGACACTGTGTTTAGCACATAGTAGTCACTCAGTAAAACGTGACTTACATATCTCTTCCCACTTCTTTAATAACTTTTTTGATTTGTCATTTACCTGGAGGGTATTTAACTAGAAAAATCCAAATTCAGACACAAAATACTGCTGCTTTGTTTCAAATGATAAAATGAAGAAAAGATGAGCTTGTGAGATATTCAATATCACAAGACCAAAATCATAAGAAAATAAGCAAGAAAAGTTCAGATTTCTGACATACAAATACCAGCCATAATAAATAAAATCATATCATCTCTTCGACTTCTCCATTAGGGTGATTGAAATGTGAGTAATTTGGGAGGTACTTGGTACTTGGAGAACTTATATATAAAATTAGAGATGACAAAAGTTTGTAGGAAAAATACTATGAATTTGGCTGAGAAGAAGCTAGATTAAGAAGAAAGAATCTATTTGAAAAGATGAGCAAAATGTTTTTACAAGACACTGAATGCTTAAAGCCCAGAGAAAGCATGATATCCATGTGCATTTAAAAGTCATTCATATTTTAAGGTAGTTTCATGAGGCCTGTAGATTATAAATTGATTAACAATTGTAATTATAGTTGGAAGTAATACTTCTGGGAAGACATGTTTAGATGCCTTTTAATTCATAATTATTCAGTCTCATGATCTAAATCCACCTTCACAGGTATATTCACCAAGCTAGAATATAGTTCCTAAGACTGTGATTCTACATTTTGGCCACGTCTATTTGGTTTATTATGTTTTCATCACATTAGACAAATCTCTCCTTTTTGGAAGTGGGAGGAAGAACTCTTCTTATCAACGCCCTCACGAACAACGAAAGACACATACATGCTGGCATCTGTCCAGTAGAGAAAGTCTTCCTGATGGTCCAGAGTGAGCCCACTGGGCCAGACCAGGCTGCCATTCACAATGGGTGCCCGGAAGTTTCCTCCCATTGTGGCTCTCTCAATTTTGGCATTAGTACTCCAATCGGTCCAGTACATGTACCTAGTCATCCAAAAGTAGACATACTTAATTCACCTCAAGGAACATCTTAATCCTTTTTACTTAAAAAAGAATGACAACGTTCTTTAACTGCAAGTTGACATTAATATGGCAAATAAAATCCTACTTCATTGCCATCCACACTTGCCCAGAAAGGATTTACTGAGTCAAAGCATGATTTCCTAGGATGCTCCCAAACTTTCTAGCAGCAATGAGAGTTCCTTCCTAAGTAAAATCACTCATGCTCTTTTACCCTTGAGCTATAGTGTTACAAGCCCATAAACTGTTGGCCTTCTATGAAAATAAGATGATTTCAAACTTCACACCCTCCAAAAATAAGCAAATAGAAATATGATTTAAAAAAATAAGACAAGGCATACCCTTGGCAAGGATCTAACACAATCGCTCTTGGGTTTGAAACATGAGCTAATACAGTGTGATCTGACCCATCCTCAGCCATGGAGTTAATTGTTTGGTTGATGAAGTCACTGTAATAAATTCTTCTATTGATCCAGTCAAAGGCAATGCCATCAGCAGCCCCTACAGCTGGACATACACCAACAAAACACACACATAAAAAGGCATTAGATTTCATGTGAAATCTTCATAAAAAAACAAAAAGGCATTAGAGACTCAATATGTATTTTAGAACCACTAAGTCTCCGTGTGTGTTGATTCCATTTTGTCTACTTCCAAGATAAGCTGCACCTGGATCACACTTACCTGAAACAATGACAGTGGTAGAACTCATCTCTGAATTCAGGTCGATGTAGGAAATCTGGCCATGTCCAGAGTCTAAAAGTTGTGTAAAGTAGATTCTGTTACCTATGCTCTCATAGTCCAGGGCCATGGCATATCTTTCCACACTTATCGCTTGGAAAGGTAGGGTATGGTCTTCAGGGTCCAAGTGCAAGCTTCTCAAGGAATTATCCAATGTAAAGATGAGGAAATTTTCTATCGAAATGGCACAGCTTTTTCCATCATCTTCCAGGGTCCCAAAGGCACAGCCGCATTTTGGGGTGTGTGATCTGGGCAGAGCAAAGCAGAGATGGGAGCATCCACCATTATTTTCCAAGCAAGGGTTGTCATCAACCTCTGCTGGTGACCGGGGCTGGGTATGCTGGTCAAAGATTGTCACATCTCTTAGCCAATTGATATTGTCCCGCATCACTCTTGGTGTCTCTGTGGTCCCTGGTTCCTTGCTAGCTTGGAAGATTTTTTTTAAATTCCTGTCTGCCCATATGATAGAATTTCCAAAAACAGTGATGGCATAAGGAGTTGGGTAACGACTGCCAAAACGTATCACTTCAGATTCCTTTCCCTCAATACGGATCCTTGCAATTAAATCTAAATAGTCATCAACCCAATAAACGTAACCACTGCTATAGTCCACTGCCAAGCTCCGTGGTGAGATAATGTACTCTGATACAAGCACAGTTCGATTGGTACAGTCAAGAAAAGAGCGTTCTATTTTGGGAGTTTGCCCATAGTCAGTCCAGAAGAGGTATCTGTTCTTAGGATCTACAACAATATCCCTGGGCATATCCTCTGTGACTTTAAGGAGAACACGACGGTAGGTGGTATTGATCCGCAGAACTTCTATCAGTGTTTCAGACACAAAAGCATTGGTAAAATAAAGATTTTCTGCAGGAAAACGAAACAACACGCTGATGAATGGAAACTAGAAGAAAAAACAGGACACTTTTTCAAATTCAGAACAAAATATGTACGGTTGAGGTTTGGATCACTATATGTTGTCTTTTCCAAGATGATAAATTTCTCAGTTTAGACTTAGAAATATAAATATTTACTGTTAAGAACTAAAGAGATTTCTTCAAATTTAAAGAAAATGTGCCATCTTCAGCTTCTAAAGCAGATTAAAATTCATAGCAAACTTCCTAACCCACTTTCAACTGTAAGATGTATTTTCCAGAATATCCTTCCTCTTCTACCTGAATGTTTAACCTAAATCTTCAAAGACTTTAAACACACATTAATATGGCATAATTTCTACTCCAACATGATGAAAAACACAAAGAGAGAGAGCCAGCAGCATCTCGGGTTGTTATCAATGTCACAAAATGTTTGTTACGCTTAGCATTAGCATGAGGTCTTTTCCTAGTCTTTTTAATTAATGTACATGTTTTCATCCTATGGGCCTTCTAAAGAAACCAGAACACAAGTCCATTTGCCTTTGGACATTACAAAACAATATAAATGCTGAAATAAAAGACCATGATGTGAAGATAGGATAATGACTAGAGAGTAATCCTTTATTGATACCATGTAGCCGAAAATTTGTTGAACTACCAAGACGGCCACCAAGGCACACTTCTTTATCCCTATACCTGACCTAAAACTGCTCTAGAGAAATTGAGACCTAGAAAAATTGAGCTCTAGAGAAACTGAGAGAAATTGCTCTAGAGAAAGTGAATTATGCTACTGATCTACTCTTTTCCTTACCTATTTCTAATTGTAATATGTATATTCCAGTCTTTTAACCCAGTGTTGCAAACTTTTTCTGTAAAGGGCCAGATAGTAGATATTTCAGGTTTTGCAGAGCATAGAGTTTTTTTCACAAGTTCTCAAGTTATAACATGAAAGCAGCCATAGATAATACATAAACAAATGGGCACAGATATATTCCAGTAAAACTTACAAAAATAAGCATGGTTAAAGGTACATATTTCCAGTTATAAGATAAATAAGTACCAGGGATGTAACGCATGACTAATTACACTGCTGGATCACATACAGTAAAGTGGCTAAGAAGTGACCCTAAGAGCTCACATCACAAGAAGAGAAAATTTTCTTTTTTTCTTCTTTCTTTTCTTTTTACTGTGTCTATATGAGATGATGGATGTCAGCTGAACCTATTGTGATAATCATTACATAATATATGTAAATCAACTTATACAGAGCTATATCCATATAATTATTTATCAATAAACAGAGGGAAAAAAACAGCCAGTAGGCTGCATTTGGCCCATAGGCCATAGGCTGCTGACCCTTGCCTTATCTACACCCTCAGAAATAAGGTAGTAAATTTGTCATCAGAGATTTAGGAACCCAATTAAAGGCCTATCTAACCATATTACCATACTTACTATTCACAATAAACTTTTATGATAGTACCTAGATTTTCATAATATATTTTAATATTTCTAAGTGACATCTATTTACCAAGTTTGATAATACACAATGATACCTATTTTTTTAATGGAATAATATTCTAAAAATTTTAATACATTTGTTTCCCAGTATATCATTTAAAATGAGTGGTAATTCAAATTTAAGTACATGAATCAATACAACTAAGCTAATGTACTATTGATCAGGCATTTCAATAAGACTATGATAAAGCGCCTGATGATCAAAAGGGTCCTTACACATCAACAAGAGGGAGCAGTCAGGAACATGGTGACTGAAATCGCTCAGCTTTAAAATAAATGATTGGAATTTCATGGCTAATATTATATATTAATATCCATTTCTCTTTGAAAATTTGGACATTTCTTATTTAGAAATTAGGTGCTAATCTAAGTATGGAAAACCGAAATCCAAATTATTTAAAATTTCTAGCCATTTTGACTACATTTCTTATTTTGTTAATAATAGAAGAAAAGGAGATCTCTTATGAATCTGTCCACTGAAATGCCTTATCATTTACTTGAGTGTATAGTATAGTCTAAAAGCACAATTCAATTTATTTTAAATAATCTCAGAGATTGTCTAGAAAAATAGGTCTGCGGCACGTAAAATGTTAGGCTAAACTTTCTAGCATAAAATAAGGTGAGAAAGAGATGCAAACACAAACACAGCTTACCTACCTGCTACCCAATCCACTGCAACACCCCGGACTCCATTTTGTCCAATCCCATATGTAACAATATTTGTAAAAGCAGACCCATCTGGTTTGATTCTACGAATTGAGTTACCAGATGGCACAGAGCTGCTAAAATCACACCAATAAATAAAGCCAGAAGATACATCAACATCCACATGCAGTACATTTCGTCCTGGAAGATTTAAGAAAAGAACATTAAACAATGCTCTAGCTAGAGTCACAACTTTTAAATGTTTACCCTTCTTCTCAAACCCTCTTTCCCAACCCCCTGCACTAACCTTACCATTACAAAATTAAACTTTCCCAGTTGCAATAAGCACACCTACCACCCAGATCTTGGTTTCTAAAAACCATTTCCCACAATAAGGAGCACTGGCTCTTGGGAGAAATGGCAAATTACTGGTGTAGGGAGGAAAGTTACACAGTAAGTCTGGAACATCTTATTATACCAAGAAGCAAGGAATCACCCAAACACCAATGGGATCACGTCAAAAAGAGTATTCTAAATGATTACAACATGTTGAATTTTTGAAAAATTAAAATTTGAGTCCCTGTGATAAATTTTTTTGAAAGATAAAATGGAAAAAAGGAGACCTCTCCTTCAGAGAAAAATGTTACTTAATAAATGTAGAAGGAATGATAGAAGAAGAAAATCACCATTTTGTAATCCCAATTAAATAATAATTAAAATAATCATTTTAGACAAGTTTCATCAATGGCCACTCAAGCCAATGTGTGAAAGGTGCTCGGGGACCAAGATATTCCCAGGATGCAAAAATGTGACCCCAAAATTTCACACAAACTACAAAGGGAGAAATATACCCTTAAAAAGCAGAGATTTCATGAATACCACCTTAACCAAGTGATCAAACTTAAGTGTCACTAGGCAGGGGACAAGCCTTGTTCTTCCTAATGAGGTTCTGTCTCAAGTACACAGCTTCACCTATGAAGTATTCTTGCCAATTGGGTTCAGCTACAATCTAATCAAGCAATTAGACCTAACTTTTATTTCATGAGAAAAGCAGTGTTTAATTGAATGACAGGTTAAAGGATACATAAGGAGATAGACAAATCCTTAATGTGAGACACTAAAAGGCAATAGGACTCTCTCTTCAAAAAGTCACCGTCATAACAAAAAACTGCTGACAAGTACTACAGATTTAAAGAAACTTAAGGCACATTCCAAATACAATGCATGAATCTTGACTGGATCTAGGCTGGAACAAAGCAACAGCTACAAAAAAATATCCTGAGGCCAACTGGGGAAATATGAACATGAATATTAGATGATAATGCCCTGAGGAGCTGCATGTCAAAGTATGTAGGGATAAAAGTGTCATAATATCTGCAAAATATTTTCCAAAAGGTCATTAAAAAAGAGTGTATATGTATGTTTACACACACAAATACACAGAGAGAGACTGAAAGCTCAAATGTGGTAAAATGTTAACAACTGTCAACTCCAGGTTAAGGGTATAAAGATGTTCCTGTACCTTTCTTTCAACATTCCTGGATTAAAAATTTTTCAAAATGAAAACCTGGGAGAAAATTTTATCCATTTTATAATATCTGAACAAGATGGTAACTTAGATCACAACTTTTTAGGTATGGGAAAAACAAAGATGAGTCATGAGAAACGGGCCCTGGGCAGGAACACGTGTGGTGCTAGCAGCGCCTTGACTCCTTAGACCTTCACATGTCTATTTCTTCTCACCATTTCTCCCACCTCATTTCCTTCTTCCTTTTTCCTTCCCTCCCTACCTTCTATTTCTATTGTCAGCCCCTGACACATTTCTAGTGATGCTCTTCAACACCTAGTTCCTCCTGTGGTGACACACAGGGAGGGGCCTCCTGGTTCACTAGGAAGCACATGATCACTTACACATTCATAGTATCCAGGCATAAAGTGCTGCAAAGATAGTCATTAAGGAGCGACTAATACTAATATCTATATCAACTCATCAAAAATACATTAATAAATTGTGTTGCAGACTATTTCATTACTATCTAAACAGAAGCATACCCTCTAAATCTCCATTAACTGTTCCTCTAAACACCAGCTCTGTAATACTTCTTGCAATCTTTTGCTATGTTCTGTATTGCTCTGGGCCTATCATTGTCAGTGTGCTCCATGGACCAGCAACATCAGATGTCCTGGAAACTCATCAGGAATGCAGATTTTCTAGTGCCACCCCAAACTACTAAATCAGAAAATCTGGGGATGGAGCCTAGATCTGTGCTTTAACAAGCCCCCCAGTTCTGATGCATACTGACGTTTGAGAATTACACTCAAGGCTGAACCAATTTAGTTAAAGGGAAAGACAAGCTTCATTATGTACTGAATTCAAACATGAAAAATACTTTATGGTACCAAAGTTTTCAACATGGCCCGATGGAGTCAATTCTTACTTATACTGGAGCTGGCATACCTTGACCTGCCACTGGCACCATGGCATCTGAATGATCTGACAATTCCAAGCTAAAGCCTCTGATTGCAGACAGCATGGAAACAACAAGGAAGGAGTTATATGGAGAGCAGGTCAAATTATCATGATTGAGTTTAAATCCAGTGGCACAGGCGCATGAGAACAGTCCTCCTGGCACAGGCAGGCAGATCTGCTGACAGGCATTCACATTGTTGCTACAGCCATTTGAGGATTTGTCAGAGTCTAAATGAAATCAGAATTAGTTTGTAACTTTTGACCCACCTACCTGCCACTCCATCTAAAATTGTTTAAATTGGGTCACCAAATAACTCATTATAAAAATTAATTAACAAAATATGATACCTGAGATAACAGCCTAAAAACAATATTGGACAGACCAGAGCTTATACAATTAACATATAAAGGTATTAAAACAGGAACACAACTATTATATAATAATTAGAGAATGGGGCATCAATTGTCTTTCTTCATGAGTCATGCAAGAATTAGAATAATTAGGGAGGTCACTATACAAATTCTAATTTTTTTTGCCTTCTTGACCTATGTACTGGGATTTACAATTATATCACTTTAATTACATTATCAACAATGTGTTGGGCATTTGATTTAATGCACATTAAATAAGAATACTTAAAGGTTTTTTTCACATGCAGTAAAAACAAATTCCAAGTGACAAACCTAGGTCAGCAAATTATTTAATAATGTTTAGTAAGAGATTAAAAGCTGTAAAATACATCAAAATTAGAAAAAAAAAGTCTAGATCATAATGCTAATTTAAAGGGGCAAATCAAAAGTTAGATTATCTCTGAAAAAATATGTTGAAAAGGCAATATCTAAGAGTATTCCTTTTAAGATTAAAACTTCTATCCCATTTACACTTTCCCAGCAGGTATCCAACAAGTATTTACTGAGCACTTTCAATGTGCCAGGAGTTATTCTAGCTACTGATTAGAAATCAAGAAATAAGACTTGTCCTTGAGACTTTCTAATGAGGAACACAGACAATAAAACAGATAGTATGTCAGGGACTGTTGTGAAGCAAAAGCAGAGTAAGGATTCAAAGTGATGGGAAAAGAATGGGAACAAACTTATCTAAAATCAATCTGGCCTTTCAGGTGCTAACTTATAGTCTTTGACACTTAGCCATGCTTAAGACATGGTTACCGTGGGTCATTTCAATTTGGACACATGTGTATAAACATGGGCCTGTGTGCGGGCATATATTTATGTATGTAAATGTGTAGATGTGTCAATATACATTGTACATCTGTGAATGTGTTTGTTTCAGTGACAAATACTTACTACGTCTGTAATAAACTCGAAGTCCCCTTAGGTTTGGGATATTATCTCTCAAGACCACTTTATTGGCCCCGGTGGCCTTGTCAACCCGTTCAATGGCCTCATAGTGTTCATCAGTGTAATAAAGGAAGGAACCATAGACGGCAATTCCCCAGGGGTGGGAAAGGCGGTTCACCAGGGCCATTCGACTTGTACCATCCACACTGCCACTTTCAATCTAAAAGATCAGAATTATCATTATGGGCTGATTCATGGTAAAATGAGAGAAGCATTTAAAAATAATATTCTCTTAATAGTAATTCCTCACATTTATGTAACACTCTATTCTTAACAGAGATTTTTCATATTTATTTTCTGATTTGACAGTCATAGCTACACAGAGCACAAGGTCGGGCAAATACCCATTATTTCACTGATAATGAAACTGTAGCTCAAGTAAGTCAATCCACTTTTTCTCATGGCATAATGAAGAAAAAGAGCTAAACCGCCTTAGTCCATGCATGTGATATTCTGGTTAAGGATATACATTTCATTTCAATGGTGGGCCATTGCACAGGAGTTGACTGGCCCTCCATTTAATATATTCACCAACAGTTTCTGCAATGGGGATAGAAAACATGCTCCATACAAGCACAGAAGATAGGCAAACTGAATGGAGCAGGGTAGTGCTGTTACATGAGGACAGGTAACAATCCTTAGTCAACAAGACTCTGACAAACTGGAAAAGAACTCCCAAGAATGATATCCTAATGGGAAATGACAAGCTGCTTGCTTCTAGAAGAAAAACAAAATGTAGACCTAGCTGGCTTGATTTCATTCCAGAAATTTGTGCCAACTGCCTCTTCTGCCAGAACCTGAGGTGAGGTCTGGCAAGAGAGAAAACAGGGTCTGGCTCAGTGCCTCACAGGACAAAGGAACCCAGTTACAAAGATCAATCAATGCCCTAGGAAATGGTGGAAGTTCAAGAAGGCTAGAGCATAAGGAGGAAAAGCTGGAAGGGCATGACCAGGAGTAGAACAGCTGACCAAGCTCAGCTCAAGTACTCAGAGCTAGTCATCTGGACCAGTGTTCTAGGCTGTCCAGTGATCAAACCAATTTGCTGTGGTTTTTGAAGACTACATGTCTCCATCATGAAAGCAGGGCTCAGCAGTGTGGGCCATGGCCTAGTCAAGGCTAGAGAGAAGTGGCTCTCGATAGTGAAGGTGGCAGAAAAAGGCTGGACCTGAGATAAGAAGCAGAGAACAAATCGCTAGGATTTTCTGACGATTAAATAAGGATATGGTTCTTAGAGTAAAGGTAAAAGATGAGGGTTCTAGCCTAGGAGAAAGGATGGAGAGTCACACCACTAGGAGGGCTAGAGCAGAGCTAGACACAGGAAGGGAGGGAGATGGGAATAGTTGTCTAGGACATGCTAAGTTGTATGCAGAAATCATAGCACATGGAAAGAGCTTCCTCATCATTACACACATGCAGCAAATTCTGCAAAGTGCTTTCACAAACATCTCTACTTCTTTTTAATCCTCAAAGTTGATCACCATTATAAGTACATATTAGAAGTGAAATTAGTACTTGTCAAACCAAATCTGCATCATGGAAAGCTTCTATACCAAAGACAGATCTGAAATCAAAACTGTTTAAAGAATAAGGAAGAAACTAACACATATTCAGTTCAACATCCTAAGCAATATTTTAATTGATCAGTAATTATTGAACACCTTCTACATGCCTAGTTCCAGTTCAGCTGCATAAGCACAACAGTGAAGATCAAATATTATTTCTGTGAATGAATGAAACTACATAGTTTCTGCTTCTTATTGCAGAATATAATACCCAACCTTGGTGTTTAAAATTGTCAATAAAGGGAGTTTTCACATATGCATCAACCACGTTAGGACATTAGAGAATTCTGTGTAGCTATGAGGGGATGCTGAGTTCATAAACTTGCTTGATATTTTTTGTTTTCTTGGTCTCTAAACTGGAGAGCCTAGAGAACTTTCAAATAAAAACACTGAAATCACTAAAATATGAAAGAAATGGCTCTTAAAGGACAAATAAGAAATGAGAAACGGAATTACTTTACGTTGAAGAAAAAAAAGGAGGGAAAAGGGTGATAAATATTACTCTATAAGGAAATATGTGCATACTATGATGAACTGGATTGCACTGAGAACAAGATTTGCTGGAGAGAAAATGGTATAAGAGACCAAGTGAGGTTGTTTAGTAACCACTGCCAGACAACTCAAAACAATCAGTATCAGCTACTCAAGTCAGCAGCGAAGACCAACAAGCTTAAGGAGCACTCGTACCACTCCCCTGCTGGTGACTGCCCAGTAGAGTTTCTGCTCCTCGATATCAAGGGTAATAAACTCCAGGTGTTCAAGGTTCCCAGTGAAGAGAGTTTCTGGAGATGTGCCATCCATGTTAGCACTTGCAATCTTAGCAGGAACGCCACTGTCAGTTCCTTGGTCTGACCAGTACAATTTCCTACAACCATGAAAAACACCAGCATTTAATGGAATAGAAAGTTTCATTAAATATTTAAATAAAAAATGTGCATTTCTTGTCTTCAAGGATGTGCACAATTCAATGGAGGAAGTCTTAAGTCTGAACCACTAATATCTTATTACATACAGTGTGGAGAAGTCCTTAACCAGTGCTCTATTGATATCTGTATATTTCCCTGCTATTATTGGGGTTGAGGCCATTTAGAATGTATTTAAAACAGGAGGCTAGAATTCTCCACTGGTGGGTGACCCTTCAGCTTGGTCAGGACCATGGTGCCTGAGGCCAAGCAAGCAGTGGCCTGTAACTGAGAGAGAGCCTACGTCAGCAGTCAATCTCCTTCAGGGAGTCATGTACCACCTGATCCAGTGGGAAGGACACAGCTAATGTGAGACTTGTCAAATGACTCCCTATTCACCAGGCCTCTTGTTTAATTCTTCTCCAAACCATCCATCATTTACCACAAGACTAGTTACTTTCTTCTATGATGAAGTCTATGTCTGACTTCTATGATGAAAAATGCAATATGTACACCAGTCACCACACAGATGGGACAAATCCATGATAGATGAAATTTTAAAAAAATTTATGAAGAAACAAGAAATTTGTTTCTGTTTTCACTGAGGACAAAACTTTAGACTTGAATCCAAGTTTTCACTCCTTTCTATCTCACCTGCTGCTATAGTCTAAACTGAAAATCCTCTTACACTCTTTTCACACTGGTCCTCAAACCCTTTAACTCCAGTCAGCTTTGTTTCCACACCAATCCACTGTACCCGTCCTGTGAACCTCATCTTCAACTAACTCTAAACCCCCCTCCCTCTGAGTTCTCAAACTGAAATGCTCTGCTTCAATGGAACTTCAAATGGAACCCATTTCTTCCCCACTTTACTTCTCCTACTGAGCCTGTTCTTTGACTTTAAGACTTGCCTGAGCTCCGAAACCTCCAGTTCCTCTATGCCTAGACCTCATACATAACCATTTTAACAAAATTCTTTTTTATTCTCTCGGTTCCCCCCTTGTGACCAACTTGCTAATCATTAATGCTGAGTCCCCGCCATGGTTTTCTTTCTCCCTTTCCATTCCAGGCTCCCAGGAGTTTGCTGGACAAAGTCACAAAATTCTTATGAATTCTGAGTTAACTAAAAATTTAAGTTACTTAACTTCAGCTCAGAACTCACCCCTAGCTCACCCTTAGCTGAACGTCTTCTGCTAACTGGCCCCTCTGCTCCTGGCCTCTTCCACTCCAATCCTGACCAATCTTTCTGAAATACAGTCCTTGGTTCTCTCACCCCTTTCCTTCAAATTACCTGCTGGCTCCTTATTTCTCAGAAGAATAAAATACATCTCATTAGCATGACACTAAAGTCCTTCTGTGACTGATTCCTGAATTACCTTAGCTGCTGTACCTCACATCTGGTCAGCTGCCCCCTACTCTAAGCCTCCGGGTCAGGCCCTCTGCACAATTAAGCTAAGCACTGCCACACTCCTGCTCCTCTACTGCTTGGCCTCAAGGTGTGCTTCCCCCTTGGGAATCCATGCTCCACAAGTTGGAAGCCTTCTTGTCCTTCAGGTCTATTTCAAATGGTATCTACCCCTTTAAAGTTTCCCGCATTCCCTCAAAGTCAGAATTATTGGTCATTCTTATACTTTAATTTTAAATTGCCTGACATTCTTGCTTCTTTGGAATTAATTTTAAGTCCAGCATTATTACTTTGAAGAACAAAGAGTGAAACATGAATCGGAGCCTTCACATCACATATGACTCAAAGTTCTTTCTCGTTCTCACTGGGATCTATATTTTTCAAATGTCGGCCTGTGAAATCAGACAAGGTCCTAAGTTTGAAATCTTCTATTTCATCAGACAATAACATTAACAGACACGGTGCTGTGCGAATGACATGTGCCATTCATGAACTCTCACCCATGAACAGGATCAACAGTTACGCCAACTGGAAAACCAACTCCAACGGCAGTCCCATCATTGGTAATGAGTGTTTTTCTGTATCTGACATCTCCCTTTAGTGTCAAAACCTATAACATAAAGTCACTTATTAGAACTGAGTTTCATAAGGTGAAAACAAAGAAAGCTGAGATGAGGGAGAACTTGCACACACAACAAATTCTAAAACACTATTAGAGGAGAATGGGAGGATTTAGAGATTCAGATAATCCCTAATTGTATTTCAGGGCTATGAGGAAATCAGCTCAAAAGAAAATGAGAGTAAGAAAAGACAAATCACCTTCACAAATTCCTATTTTCAATTCAACTAAAGTTTCAGGAGAAAAAAATTATGTGGATAAAAGAAAGATTCAAACAGGTGAGCCTACAGAACCTCTGCCTGAGAGAAAGCACAAAAATGCCTTCAAACAAAGATAAAACTCCAAGAGTCAAATGGGAAACCCCAGCTCAGCTGCACGCCACCAACCAGGCCATGACACCCCAGGGCCCATCGCTGCGGTTAGAGTTGACCGGTTTGAATGCACTCGGAGGTACAGTGAATTCTTTGTCAAGTCAAAACACATGTTCAAACCCCTACCCTGCCAAACCGGACTATGTGACCGGAGGCAAGTGATTTCACCTCTCTGGACTTGGCTTCTTCATCAGCTAAATGTGGATAATGAGCGTGCCCTCTACAGAGAAGTGACAGGACCGTGAGGTAATCCATGAAAGGCCCTTAACACAGCACCAGGCACAACTGTGTTCAATAAATGTCTTCTATTTTTTTTAACAGTCCATTTATTGGGCACTTAACTGTACACCAGGCATTATCCTAAGTGTTCTTGGGTTTAACTCTCCCAATAATTCCATGAGATAGATACAGTTATTATACTCATATTACAGATGGTGTAAGAGAGGTTTAGGGGTTTTCCCAACGTGATCTATTTTTTAATTATTACTGTGGTGATTGTTATAACCAGTTTTAACAGAACTCTGAAACATCACAGAGAAACATGAATTACTGGACTAGATGCAGTTTTTCAAAGGAAGAGGCTATTTTAATATGCACTTGAGACAGTCTGAGAAGAGAGGCAACTAGAAAGAAATTAGAAAACGCCTGTTAATTTTCATGAAGGTTTTTCTATAAAGTTGCTTTTCAGTGCCAAGAGATTATTTGTGTCTGTTTCTGTTTCTGTTTCTGTTTCTACCTGCCCAGCTCTTCCTTTTTCTCTCCCTCCCTCCTTCTCTCTCTTTCTCTCAAGCTCACGCTCACACACACACACACACACACACACACACACACACACACACACACAATACATATTTTCTCCTTCACTTTCTCCTGTCTGATATCTTTCTTTCCTACTTGGACTAAGATAATTTTTCTCTTTTCAGTTTGCCTCTTCCTACTACACTTTCTTTCCTTTTCCTAGGCCTAAGGATTTCTTCTGTTCAAAGGAAAGTTACTGAACCTGTTTTATAGAATATATCAAGTCCTTTCTCATATAGCCAATCTGTAGGCTTCACTTTCCTGCTACAAAATTGCTTTTAGTGAATGGGCACACAGCCACCCCTTAGTGAAAAACAATTTCTTCAATGTTTCTCTCTTCTTTTCAAGTTGGAATTAAATCTAACTCCTGTACTGGAAAGTATATTGTAAAGGTAAACAAGAATTGAGCACTATTCCTGTTTTCTCAAGCAAATCTTAACATTCAACTGGGAAAGTCACAGTTGGTATCACCAAAGGAGAAACCTGATTAAAAATACTAAAAGGGCAGTTTACATTTGGATCAGTGTTCTCATAGGTCCTTTATAGACGTTCTAAATATATTGATGATTAATAGGGCTCTACATTTACAGGATACCTTAGTGTTAAGGAATACTTTTATTTACTGATCTATTAACCCTCCTTTACAGATTTGGAAGCAGAGGCTCAGAGAAGGTAAATAATTTGTCCAAAGTCAAACACCCTGTGAATGCAGGAACTACAGTGTTGTCCCCAGTCACAAAATGCATTTTCATATCTCAGAGTCTTTGTGCAATTTTCCTCCTCTGCTTGGGATGCCTTATGCCATTTGGCAGAATTTTATTGTTCATCCTTCAAGACTCAGCTCACAAGTAATTATTTATGAAAAGCCTAAAATTCCCTCTCCCCACACTTTTACCTTTGTCCCTAATCACAAGGCATTCCATATTCACTGCTCTTAAAACACTTGTCACACTCGAGCAAAGGTGTTTGTTTATATGTCCAGATCTCAGATGTGTGAGCTAACTTTAAAAATATTTTATTCTTCTTTGAATATCCAGGATTAACCAGGGACTGATCTGTAGAAGCATTTACTAGTATTTGTTGAATGAATGAATGAATGAATAAATGAGCAAGTAAGCCAGACTCAAAGCCAGGTCTTTGGACTCCAAAGCAAATGATCTTTCCTCTGTACTTCACTGCACTGAGCAAAATCACAAACATTAAGTTCATATGATTACAGTGACCTTGCCAATGTTCACATACGCACACACACACACACTCAGTTATTCTTCAGCTGGTGCCCTTTCATCAAACCTAACACTGATGGAGGAGATATGTCCTCCGCTTCTGGGAAAGTATCAGTCCAAAGGGAAGTCCCCCATTTACAGAGCAAGACAGAGTTGGAACATATTAACTGTCACCCAGAATCAAGACAGCTTTGAACCGAGTAGACTCTAGAAAGATGTGAGTTTGGAAAAAAAGATTTTAGGCAGTAAGTGTTGCTTATACTTTGATGGGAGAATAATAATTTTAGTCGAGAGTATGAAAAATAACTTCTGTCACTGTCAAAGGAGATTAGAGCAGGCCGATCGCAGGAGCTGTGGTTTGTCACAAGCGAAGTTACAGTGCCACCTGGGAATCAGGGCAGAGAAGCTGTTTAATTAAACCAAGTTGTTAACTTCCATGGGCTCCAGGATCCTGTCTAAGAAAAAAAAAGGGTTTGAACCAGATGAGCCTCCAAAGTTCCCCTCATGTTAAGAGCTGATGATGACACCTGGCTTGAGATATGCCAGGTGTAAGGTTGGAGGCACTAGGGGGAGGAGTGAGCACATCGGACACTGATGACGTGCCAAAGCCCCCTGCTGATGCCCCCTCCCAACCTGAAAAATGTGCCTCAGGCGAGCCAATCCTCGCACCGCTGTAAATCAAAGCTCTGCCTCCCCCTACCTGCTTTAAAAACTTGCTGCGGGCCCTGCTGAGTGTGACTTCTCCGGCCTGTGATAGTCAGACCGGGGAACATCACCCAGGAATTTGAGTTCAAATAAACTACCTGGCCCTTTGTTGCCTCTCTTCGCCTGCTTATTTCGGCTAAAATTTATCTTACACCAGGAGCTAGTGTTTGCACATAGTGCAAATGTCCCCCTCGCTGTGCACGTTTTCTGTGCTCGCCCACCCTCAGGAATGCTGTGAGGATCAAAGATGGGGTTTGTGGAAGATCCTTGTGAGCTTAAATGCTGTTCTGACTATGGAATGAGCACTCCTCCAATTGAAATCAGCCACTTGGCTGCTGTGTGCCTTCCCCATCTTCGGTGTTTATCTTCCTGAATGCCCCAAGGAGAACCGGCTGGTGCCTCTCCCTGAGCAGTGGACCGTCACTCTGCATAAACCTAATCTCTGCCTTTTCACAAAACCCTCTGTTTGTCTTAAGAATTTTCACTTTTGAAATTATTATGAATTAATAATCTTTCACAGGTTTAACCTTCCCCAGTAGTGGAGGAAATCAATACTAGTCAAGTTACCTCTCATCTGCATCATGTGATTTCATACCTGCACCCCATCTACAATTTCTTCTGGGAATTAGAGTAAATGAACACTTGTCACAAAGAGGGTAGTATCAAAGGAATTAAAATCAAGTTTCTAATTTCTGTTTCTTTGTTACAAAAACTCCATTGAAGCCTTAGGAAGATTTCCATCTTAGAATAGAGGTAACCTATAAGTCTGATTTAAAACTAGAGCAGCATTGAAGACTTGATAAGAAAAGATAATGAAAATTCCCTCACTACTAAATCTTCCCCTTATGCTGAGTTCCTAACACTTCTTTATCTTTTTTTATATTTTTGTAAATTATCTAAAAATCATTTACATGAACAAGTTAGTGTTAATACTTAGGAGGAAACAAAATAGGGCAGAAGAAAGTCCCAATAATTCATTTTTTAGGTGGTTTTCCTCCTTAGCTTCAGAGACTTTGATAGTAAATACTAGAATCTCTTTCCTTTGCTTCCTGCTTTTAAAAAAATGTCAAAATCCCTATGACAGCATTTCCTGAGGATAGATTTTATATGAATCAGTGCTTGTATAACTAGTATTATGGAATCATACCTCAATGGACTGAGTTCCAGGATTAGTGTAATACAAGTTTTTTGATATCCAATCTAAGGACAGGCTCATAGAAGACCCCATACTAGACATAGGAACAAGCACTGTCCTGTTGGTGCCATCTGTCTTCACTCGGTGAATTTCACCCTGGAAAGAAAGAGAAGTCAGCTGCTTCAAGGCCACAGATTTAGCACTGAAAACACTTTCTTCACTGTAGCTCCTGCCAGCTGCTGTTTCTCTAACACTCCTTACACACCATACACCAGACAGGCCTACTGTGCATGATGCTAATACCAGCCACATTTTGAAAACACTGATTTTTCAATGTGTCATGGGAATACACAAAGGCTCGCCATTCAGGATACCTCTGATATTGGCTACAAAGATTTATTTCTTAACTACAAAGGTCAAAGAGACATAAGAGTAACCCAAGTCCCAGGGGAGGACCAGGAGGCCAGGAGTATGTTTTACATGGAGTGACAAGCACCAAGCACAAAGATCTTTCCTCTCTTCCTGATTTGTATTCTCTTTGCCCCTTCCCCATTCTCAAGGGTTTCTTCTCTGAAGGGTGAGGAAAGGGGCCCTATGGAATGGAATTGAAGGAATGTTATTTTTATTCTAGAGGCAAAGATACTTAAAAAGGCTCCAGCAGCCACACCAATGCTTTTCTTGAATTCCCTTAGGGAAATTACTGCTTTTTTTCTTGAGTTATGATCATTTGTACATTAGTCTAATATCTTCTACTAACTTAAAGTCACTTAAGAGCAAGCTTTGTATCTGCTTCTTCTTGGCAGGTTGGAAGCAGCTAGTTCAGTGCAAGGCATACAGTAAACATTTAATAAATACTTGCTAAATGAATAAATAATTCCCAGTAGCTTAAATGTGTTTACTGTTTTTGCTCTGGATCAACCTCCCATCTACATCCCTCATTTAATCAAATAAATTCAGTAGTAAATTAATTTATTTCAGGACAATTTTCCCTTTATCAGCCCAGCAAATTTTGACCATATTAAGGCACCAGTGCAAGCAGGCTGTTCAAGAACAAGAAAAATACTTCAAATGTTATTCAAAACTTACTGGATTCTCAACCCAATAGATGAACTGCTCTGAGTCATCAAATTCAGCATCATAACCATTCAGTATTCCTACTATGGGGATCATTGCATCATTGGTCTCCACCTCAGGGTTAAGGGAGATTCCAAAAATTATACTGTGTCTTACAGCTATTAAGAAAGGCTGTTCATCTGTAAAAATAACAGAATATCAGTCAAAATTATATCCCACTACTCCAAGACATTTAGAGTAATGGAAGGCAGTGGATTGTTCCCATCTTTTGAGATAAAATGCCATAGCAGCACTGCAGCAATAAATGTGATAATGCATGGTAGATATTTCATCAGACTATCGAGGGCCTTCCATTGGGTTTCAGTGGGTTGCTGGGTCCCAGACCTCCAGCTCCACACACAATGCTTCTGGACTTTTCCAAAGCACATCAGTATGCACCTTACTCTTCATTAATTCCTTACTTACTGATAAACCATCCATGTTTGCTAAGTGTCATAGTCAAGAAGTTCTTCCATTTCTACACAAATTTTACTAATGCTGAATAACTCAGGGGAAGGAGAGTGGGATTTTGAAAAAAAAAACACAACAAAGTGAAGAAAACTTACAGACTATTCTTGGTGAATGGCAGTTTACTAGTTTTAGGTATGTTCATAAAATAAAACAACACTATAAAATGTTGCCTAGTGTTTATTAGAGAGTTTAATTAACAGATAAATCCAGTTTTTAATCCAACCAACTGGTTGACTAATATCTGTTTTCCACATTAGATTCTAACTTCCAAAAGGCAGTGACTATGTCTGATTTACTCACTGTTATGGCCCCAGAGCTGGCATATAATTACTTGCCTAATAAATATTTGCTAAATGAATGAATGACCACATAAACAAATCAATGGATGGATGCATAAGTGAATATGTAAGCAGTGTTTTATAAAGCAAATGTCTGTACATTACACCTTAAATATCAATGTAATATTTTATTCAAACTATCGGTTCACTTAGCCTTCTTAATAGATAATAAGAGGTCATTTTTCAAAGACAGTCTTTGAAGATAACCTTTATCCTAGCTTATCAAAAAAAACCTAAATTGATGACATTGAAGAGTGGGGTTTTACTTTATAATTCCTCTCTGAAAAATGAAAATCTTTGGAATGTGAGTTTTGTGTTATTAAGACACATATATAAGATATATCACATATTAAGATTAAAATATAAAATGATTAATCATTGCATAATTTTTATGGGCTAAAAATGATGTTTTCATTATTTTGATAATCTGAGAAATTTTTCATCTTCAGCAGGATTATTCTGACACCTTTTTCTTTACTTATTTTCAAATCTCACTAGCTTTTCCTTATTCTTGGCATTTCTATTACTGAGAAACAACAACCTAATACAAATTAAAGTAAATTTTGCAACTATGAATTCTTTATATTTTATGAAGTTCTGTAATATATAGCATTTAGTCTTTCACAACAAGCCTGCAAAGTTGTTTTCCACTGAGGCCAATGAGACTTGGAGGGACTATGTGACTTCTGCAGGAAACATGCAATAAGGGGCTGACTCACAGCTCCCCCTCTCTTGATTGCTTGACATTGCCTCTCTGAACAACTGCAGTAGCCATATCACCCCCATATTTTGAGACTTTGTGCCACACTGTATGCACTTGGCAAATACTATTTTACCTAATTCATCTCCCTGAAGCCTCACTACCCTGTTTGTTAGTTATATGCCCCCACCTCCCAACTTTTAAATGAGGTACAAAGAAATTAAGTAATTTAACCAAGATCACACAGCCAGGTCTCTTGGACTCCAGAACCTATGTTCTCAATGACTACTTTGCAAAAAGTACAGATCAGGCACTACTTACTGAATATCAAGCTACCACTCAATTCATCTGATTTAACTGCGATAATAAAAGAATGAAAGCTGTATTATGAGTTTCAGATGTGCCTTCAAATTATATTGAAATGATATTTAATTATTTACTGATTATATGTTGTAAATGCTCATTGTTTCAGTAAAAATAAGAAGTATTGTTCCCAATTTCACAAGGGAAATTTTAAATTTTACTTACTCAAAACTTGACACTGTTCTTTTTGCTTAGTTGGAGGAATTCCCAACTAAAAAACTGTTTAAGGCCTAAAAAACTTTGCATTTCTCATCTATCAAACAAGTCTTCCTCATTCCTTGGAGGAGCTCTTCCCTCAAGCACTGTCCAGCTCTCCTCTTCCTTTGGCCTTTGCTCCTCCCTGGGGGCATATCTCAGGCTGTTTATCTGATCACTGCTGGTGTGCTGAAGAGAGCTTAGCACCATGAACCCCAGCAGGCAGTGCACCAGGGCCAGAGGACAGGTGCCATTTAATGTGGCACTGGCTGAACGTGTGGAAGCCAAAGTGAAGGCCAGGGCCAGAGCTGCGCTAGAAAGGAAGTGACCACAGAGACAGATGGCACAGGGAGGGTGCAGGAAAAGTATTCTGTAGGAAAGAATAAAGGGGTGATTTTAAGATGTTCTACACCTACGAAGGAGCAGATGGATAAAAGATATAGGGCAGGAGAAGGAGCAAAAGAGGATACTGAAGGGTTTGTCATTCGCTTAGCATTTATTGAGCACCACTATGTGCCATAAGCAACAAGCATATGTTGACCAATCAGGTGGAGGTTTTATCCTCACAGAATTTGGAATCAAGAGGGCAAAACAAGGTTATCATCCAGCCTTGATGATTCCGAATGAGAATGGCCAAGAAGGATTAGCACAGAAACACCTAGGTCAGGTGGAAATGAGTTCAGGAGGATGTGATATTTAAGCTGTCCTAGGTTAGTATGTCTCAGTCTTTCGAATTGAAATATCATTTCTTCATTTTTATTTTTCATGTTATGGTCCCTTAAGATTAGTGGTAGCAGAGCAGAGAAGTGAAAAGAACAGCCAAGAATGGGAAATTTATGCTGTAATCAAAGGGCAACATTTAACTGTTGGCCTAAACCTAGGACCTCCTTGAGGTGGACCCTGCACAAACTGACCAACACTTCAACCTTTCCAAGAACATGGGCAAGGAGAGTTTTCATATTTTGCACAAAATCACTAAAACAATGGTCTGTGTCCCTCAGACTGACTCGGAAACCTATTTGGAATTTGAGATTGTTTATTTTAGGGGTGATGGAGAGATATTTTGGTTGGAGTTTTGTTTGTTTGTTTATTTATTTTTGGCATAGTAGAGGACATATTTTCTAAAGAATTTCTAAAGTTTCTAAAAAATTGCATACAGATAAAGTTCTTACTTCAATATTTTATAACATAAAATCAGGAAAAAAATAGAAATATCCCATATTTCCCCTACCTAACTGTAACCACTACTTGTATGTGTTGTCTTCCAGATTTTTTTAATGCATATTTTACATGGCTGATATAGACAGTATCTATTTTTTCACTTAAACCTTATCAGAAAAGCACTTCTAAACAAACTCTGGACTCTTAGTAAACACTGTTTGAGAGACTATTAAACATGTAAAGCAAGTAATATATTTTCATGTAAATGAGTCTTCTAAGCTTTTTGTTGAAACGATCTGTGACTTTTTTTTAGTTAACATATATTGACAATTGGTTACCCAACTGCTGTTCAGAAACACATTGGGAAATGCTGAAAAGGTTTCACCTCAGTAAAGTCAGCCCATGGAAAAACCACTGGTGGAATTATTTGTGAAACAACAGAGGGTACTATTTAGACTTAACATTTGTCAATCACTGTCAGAATGGTAATATTGATTACACCAATCCTCAATACACAGTTCCACAATCTGTGTGGTGAAAGAATGCTTTGTATCCAATATATCCATAACCCAGCTTAATCTTCTGGTGAAAGACTCTGAGGACACACTAAATTAAACACTGTCAACAAGGATTAGGTGCATAATAAGTTCATGAAGAAAAATGGCAAATGCCAATCCCTTTGTAAGCATTACAAATAATTAAAATCTCTCATCATGAAGGTATTATTGCAAAATATTACAGGCTAATGGAATTCTATTTTCAGTAAGCCTACATCTGCATAACCTGTAAACACCATAAATTTCCTGGATTCAGAATCTACTTTCCACTTGAAAAACAAATTTTCCACTGGATTAGGATTCTTTTCTCTTAATTTAAGAATTCTATCATTAAACACTTAATTTTAAATTGTCTACAGCCATTTTTATCAGTATCAAGACACATTCACTCCTCCTCACTGGGAAATTAAAGAAACTTGAATTTAGATTAACTTTTGATACTTTTAAACAAAGATGAAGGATTTTGTAATAGTTTATTGAACATCAAGTACATACACCAGAAGAAATTTCTTTTGTGGATTGACTACCTGTTTTCCTTCTTTTATTAATCCCTGAAGTATTTATTATAACACTCCACTACTCTTCTAATACTCTTCAATCAACCCAGTAAAACACCTAGGATTAGATGAAGATTAAATTGCTCAAATAATCACTTAAAATATTTCATACCAAGAAACTTTCCTTTTTAAGGTATCAGAGAGTCATAGTAAAGGTACTGAAATTGGAGTCAAAAGATGTAGGCTAGAACACTCATTATTGTTATATGAGATGAATATTGAATAAAAATGAGATAAGGAACCTGAAAAATGAAGTCATACACAAAGGTCAAGAATTTTTCTTCTTAAGGGCAGAATTTGAGACTTCCATTATTATAGCATGTCTAACTATAACCAGGCAAGAGAAAATGTGAGGTTTAAGAACTTTGAATCACATGCATACATAATATTAGCTCCATATGCAGACACTATATTATAACTGAGATGCTCAATTAAATCACCACATATAGCACACACTCCACCAAAGGCTGCTGAATCAAAGGGGCACAGCAAATATTTTATTAGCAAGTGGCTTAAAGCTCACAGTGCTTTGCACAAACTGTGGCAAAATCCACCGTCAGGGACACTTAAAGGGCATACTGTACCTCTTGAGCAAGTCACAGAGTCGTGAGAGAGACTCCACCCTGAAGGACAAGCACAGGAGCAACGCCCAGGGTTCTGTGTAGAAAGCAGGCATAGATGGCTGCAGGACGAAAAGGCACATGAGTTTGTGGCTGCAGTAAAAGGAGAAGAGAAGAGAAGAAAACACTGGTGAATGGAAAACTTCCCACATTAAGGTGCACAGAAAGAATGGATAAAGATGTCAGGTGTATAGACAATGGCGTATTAATGAACCACAAAAAGGAAGAAAAGCCTGCCATTTGCAACAGCATGGATGGGCCTTGAGGACACTTTGCTAAGTGAAATAAGTCAGGGAAAGAAAAATACTGTATGATTGCCCTTATATGTGAAATCTAAAAGAAAAACAAACTCACAGAGAGAACAGATAGGTGATTACCAGAAGCAACAGGTAGGAGGGTAGGTGAAATGGGTGAAAGTGAGACAAAAGGTACAAACTTCCATTTACAAGGTAAATAAGTCTTGGTGGTGTAATGTACAGCATGATGAATATAGCTAACAATATGTATTTTATATTTGAAAGGTGCTAAAAGAGTAAACCTTTAAAGTTATCGTCATGCAAAAAAGCTTTTGTAACTAGTCATGGTAATGGATGTTCACTAAACTTACTGTAGTGATCATTTCACTACACACACACATATATATATATATAGCAAATCGTTATGTTGTATACCTAAAACTAACACAATTGTTATATGTCAATTATTTCTCAATGTAAATAAATTTTTAAGCATAGACAAAGTCATGCTGTTATTGTCCACCCAGAGACCCCCAGAATTTGGAGACAGAAACACATTAACTCTGTTGGTTTGGGTTTTTTCGCTGAGCTACTTTGCCCTTCCCTAGCATCATGCTTTCAGTCAGAAAATTCATGAGAAGCATAAAAGGAACAGGTGATTTGCCTAAGATCACAGATCACAGCAGTTTGTAATGGGATTACAAACAGCCATTGAATCCAGAGCTTAGCAATAGAAATATGATGCTAAATAATAGGTGTCTCCTTGCCTGACCTAAAAGACATCTTTTTACACCAAATGAAACCAAGGTGTGTGTTCCCTCTATGACCCTGACATTCACCCACAGTTGTCAAGTTTTACTTAGATAATAATCTTATCTTTTTCTATTGATGACATCTGTGTGTGTCTCTTGTTCTTGAAAAACAAAAAACAAAAAAAAAGGATCCTGTGTGCATCCAGGCTCACAGGATGCTGTCTAGATCTTATATGCTCTCAGCACATATGCCTTGTGAGAGTCATTAATGCATGCATTCACTCAAAAACTGTTAAGCCTCCACTATGTACCATTCTAAGCACTGGGAATACTGTAAACATGACACAGATATTTTAACAAAGGGAGACAGACCTAAACTCATAAACTGTCTGATTTCAGAAGTGAGAAGAAAAAGCAAAAGGATTATGAAAGAGGCAGGCTACTTTAGATAGAGTAATCAAGGGCCACCAGGAACTATTTGAAAAAATCCTCAATGACATGAAGGAGCAACTCTTACAGACATCTTCAAGCATAGGGAAGAGCTAATGCAAAAGTCCAGAAGGGGGAAATAGCCTGGTAGGCTTCTGCACCAAATATATCCAATGAGGTCCAACATGGCAAGAATAAGTGTGAGAAGAGATTAGGGAGATAAGATGGGGACAGGTCCTGAAGGGTCCATTGCAGGACTCTGAAGAGAGATTAAGTGACTTATTCCCTCTTCTCACCAGAAAGAATATTGCCAAGGCCAAATTTTTAAATCACCTAGCCACCCACACGACAAACTCTAGGATGACCTAGGGTGGCTGCAGCACAGCACTTACTGGGCAATGGCACAGAAGTAAATGAGTCCTAAAAGTAAGCTGCTTCATACCACAGAGTGGCAGCAATAAAAGACTCTGAGGAGCTGCCAAGTCTCTGCTGCCTTTGTCCTCAGGGACCTGAGACCTGTAGGAAAGCCACATAGGCTGCAGTCTGAACAAAATAGCATGAGTTCAGACCTGCTGCAGTTACATACAAGATTTGCATTTACCATGGTAAATAAAAGTAATGGTTAGTAAAGAGGAAAAGAAAATTTATTGCCCAAACAAATGGGTATCCAACAAATACCAAGGAATGAACCTAACTAAGGAAGTGAAAGACCTATACCCTGAAAACTACAAGACACTCATGAGAGAAATTAAAGAAGATACCAATAAATGGAAATACATCCCATGCTCATGGATAGGAAGAATTAATATTGTCAAAACATCCATCCTGGCTAAAGCTATCTACAGATTCAATGCGATCTCTATCAAGATACCAACAGCATTCTTCAACAAACTAGTGCAAATAGTTCTGAAATTCATATGGAACCATAAAAGACCCCAAATAGCCAAAGCAATCCTGAGAAGGAAGAATAAAGCTGGGGGGATTGTGCTCCCTGACTTCAAGCTCTACTACAAAGCCACAGTAATCAAGACAATTTGGTACTGGTGCAAGAACAGACCCATAGACCAATGGAACAGACTAGAGAGTCCAAATACAAACCCACACATGTATGGTCAATTAATGTATGACAAAGGAGCCATGGACATACAATGGGGAAATGACAGCCTCTTCAACAACTGGTGTTGGCTAAACTGTATGGCTACATATAAGAGAATGAAACTGGATTACTGTCTATCCCCATTACACAAAAATAAACATGAAATGGATCAAATACCTGAATTTAAGTCATGAAACCATAAAACTTAGAAGAAAACATAGGGGAAAATCTCTTGAATATAAACATGAGCAACTTTTTCCTGAACGCATCTCCTCAGGCAAGGGAAACAAAAGCAAAAATGAATAAATAGGACTACATCAATCTAAAAAGCTTCTGTACAGCAAATGACACTATCAGTAGAACAAAAAGGCATCCTACAATATGGGAGAATATATTTGTAAATGACAGATCCGACAAGAGGTTAACATCCAAAATGTATAAAGAACTCACAGGCCTCCACACCCAAAAAGCAAATAATCCTATTAAAAAATGGACAGAGGATATGAACAGACAATTCTCCAAAGAAGAAATTCAGATGTCCAACAGGCACATGAAAAGATGCTCCACATTGCTGATTATCAGTATATGCAAATTAAAACCACAGTGAGATATCACCTCACACCAGTTAGGATGGCCAACATCGAAAAGACTAAGAACAACAAATGCTGGTGAGGATGCAGAGAAAGGGGAACCCTCCTACACTGCTCATGGGAATGTAAACTAGTTCAACCATTGTGGAAAGCAATATGGAGGTTCCTCAAAAACTAAAAATAGAAATACCATTTGACCCAGGAATTCCACTCCTAGGAATTTATCCAAAGAAAACAAGCTCCAGATTCAAAATACACATGCACCCCTATGTTTATTGCAGCACTATTTACAATAGCCAAGATATGGAAGCAACCTAGTTGCCCATCAGTAGATGAATGGATAAAGAAGATGTGGTACATATACATAATGGAATACTATTCAGCCATAAGAAAGAAACAAATCCTACCAATCACAACAATATGGATGGAGCTAGAGGATATTATGCTCAGCGAAATAAGTCAGGCAGAGAAAAACAAGTACCAAATGATTTCACTCATTTGTGGAGTATAACAATGAAGCAAAACAAAAGGAACAAAACAGCAGCAGACTCACAGACGTCAAGAAGGGACTAGTGGTTACCAAAGGGGTGAGACGTGGGAGGGTGGTGGGGAGGGAGGGAGAAGGGGATTGAGGGGCATTATGATTAGTACACATGGTGTGGGGAGGGTTACGGGGAGAAAGTGTAGCACAGAGAAGGTAAGTGGAGTCTTACTATGCTGATGGACAGTGACTGCAATAGAGTATGGGAAGGACTCAATAATATGGGTGAATGTAGTGGCCACATTTTTTTCATGTGAAACCTTCATAAGAGTATATATCAATGATACCATAATAAAAAAAAGAATATAGGGTAGTTAGGGTGGGGCTGGGAGATCTGATGGATCCCGGATCTCACATATTAATTAGACCTAACCAAGGTCTAATTAAAGTGACTATTTGTGGAAGAATTAAAAGATCAATACTAGCTGCTTGTTACATATATTCAAAGGAATACTATGAACCACTAAAATGATAAGACAGATCAATTAGTCAGGCATGGAAAGATCCCTGAAACATTTAGCTGAGAAAAATAAAAGGCAAGGTGCATAACTTGTAGGGAGGCTGTGATGTCATTTCTGCATGAAAATAACTTGTGTATTTTAATAAATGCATGTAAAGAAAAAATCTGGAGGAATATATACTGAACTGCTGGACTGATGATTTATGGAAGGTAAAAGATTTTCACTTGTAAATTGTAAATGTCTGTAACTTTAAAGTATTTTTGCAAAGAATATGTTTCTAGACAAAAAAAATACATTAAAAGCTTGTTAAAGATAAAAAAAAACATGGGTCTGCAACACTTTGCATTTAGCATTCCCAAGTGATATAATAAGTAGTTTTATTATATAAGGTGGATATAGTGTTTTCCAAGTGATTCCCAGGCAGCATGTCTCTCTGTATCACTTACAGTTTGGGTGTTTCACAGGATGAACTGCAACAATCCCAAGGGGCTGATGAACATTATATATTATGACTGACTGGTTTCCCCCGTGCCACTTGTTGGCTTGCATGACACGGTGAGTAGCATAGTCAGTCCAGTACATGGAATCCTCAAAGAGAGTCAGGGCATAGGGATGCCGCAGCATCTGTGATGCCAAAGAGAGCAACGTGACTTCACCCAAAAATAAAAACAAGGTGGACAAAGTAGAAAAGTGTGTCTGCTCAAGAAGCTGATTTCCTTTAGCATTTAATTATTTAATAAAAACATAGGGAAATTATTGCTCAAGAGGCAGACAAAAAATATACTGCTTAACCTATAAATATCCTTTCACATGTGTATATCATTTCATCTTCATTTTTACTCTGGTAATTACACTGAGCATCCATTTCAAAAATTGAAAAAAAAAACTGAAGTGCAGAAAGTAAACTGACTTCTGGATCTAGTTACAAGTTCCGCATCCCTTACTCCCAAGCCTTAGCTCCCACCCTATTATCACCACTCCTGAGCCAGGGCTATTTCCTCCATCTTGTTCTGATGCTCACAGATCCACACAGACCTGACACAGCTTAGACGCATATTTCCTGAAGGTAGGAGGCCCTCTCAGAGTCTTCTCAAGTCACAGAATTATAACCAGTGACAGTCTACATAGATGTCAACAACAGCTCTTTGGTAAAATACATATTTTCTGTACTTTACCATTTAACTTGTGAAATAAAATTCACCAGAATTTCCTGAATAAAAATACAAAATACATAACAGGCTAGGATTTAATTAAGAAGCATAATTAAAGTATTAATTTTTGCCTAACACAGTTTTTACAGGTATTGAAGCAACAAATTAGCATCTACAAACCAACTAAATCACACTCACCATTAATCCTTCCCCTACATGGCACAATCTGACCATGAACAAGAGTAAAAATATTTAGTTCCTGTTAGTAGTAGAAGATGGATTGGCCCTCACTACTGCTATTTTCTGGATTAAGCTTATAATGTCTATGACCCAAAAATTAATTTCTTAGTTTTCTTGCTTTATATCTGCTTTCTACTAAGCCAATAGTGTGGATTCAGTTTAGTTTTCCCCATGTCCAACTTACCAAATCACTGGCTATCACCTGCCTCCGATGGTGTCCATCATAATTACACAAGTCTATGTAATCAAGGTAGGCATCCATAAAGTAAATCAGTCTGTTGGCATAGTCAATAGTTAAGCCATTGGGCCAGTAAATCTTGTCCTGGACAATGACAGTGCGCTCACTGCCATCCATGCTGGCTCGCTCGATATGAGGGTGACGGCCCCAGTCAGACCAGAACATCAGATGGTCACTGTGAAAACAAAGTAGTTACCAGTTGGAGGGGTCACATTTCAATATGCAAACTAACCATCATTTTAAATAATAGAACATCATCTTTGCGATCTGCTTAAAATAAATAATCTCCAGTTCAGAATATATGCCCAGAGCTTATTATTTCCTCTGTCACAAAGTAAAACTGTAATCATACTGCAATCACAGGCCATCTGAATGTTTTTATAATTTCACAAAACATGCAATACCTTAGGACAATGAAATGTCCCAATGCCAATTCATGATTTGTGTAATCCATAAATAATCTAGAAAAATCCATCTGTTCTTGTTTACCTGCCCTATCATTTTTGACTTAAGAGAGTCAATTTATTCATCATCAGACATTCAACATAAAGTTCTGGTGTGTAATACTTTACAATATCTAGAAAGTCTACATTGCATTGAACATAATTTGTCTAACACACCATTCTGCAGAAAATAACCTAAGTTAGAGAATTTAAATAAATTCAAATAAGGAAGTCCTCAAAGTTTCTAAGCATATAGAAGAATTTCTCTTTCTTCCCTTTAGGACCAGCAGGCAAAAATTTTCTTCCTCATGAGGTGGAGCCAAGATGGCGGTGTGAGTAGAGCAGTGGAAATCTCCTCCCAAAAACATACATACTTTTGAAAATACAACAAATACAACTCTTCCTAAAAGAGAGATCACTGGATACAGGACAACAGCCAGACCACATCCACACCTGCAAGAACCCAGCGCCTCATGAAGGGGGTAAGATACAAGCCACAGCCCGGAGGGACCAGAGTGCACCTCACCCCAGCTCCCAGCGGGAGGAGAGGAGTCGGAGCAGGGAGGGAGAGGGAGCCCAGGACTGCTGAACACCCAGCCCTAGCCATGTGCACCAGAGTGCAGACACACAGTGCATGTGTGGGGTGCTGGAAACTAGGGAAATGGGACAGTAAGACCTGTGAGCGGGTCCCCGCAGCTGTTCCTGGGGACAAAGAAAAGCAAGTGCTTTTTGAAAGTCTTAAAGGGACAGGGACCCCATGGCTGGACGGAAGCATCCTGGGACACTTAGCCCAGCAGCTGGGAATCTTGGGGAACTCTGGGAACCCTAACATCCTGGGCAGCAGCTCTAAGGCCCCTCACGATGATAAACAGCCCCCCATCCGTTCCCCCTCCAGCACGGCCGCACCATAGCAGAGCAGCTGCCTGAGGCTGGCCACACCCATAGCAAGGGAGCTTCCTCCATACCGGCCGGGCAAGATACAGAGACCCAGTCTACAGGCAACTGCCCAACACAAGCTGCTAGGAGTCACCGTTGTCCCAGTAAAGAAAGGCCAGGAGCAAGTGGAAAGGGTCTTGGTTCTCCCAGCTGACAGATGAGCAAACAGCATACCACTGCATCTATCAACATGAAAAGACAGAAAAATTGGATCCAGACCAGACTACACCAGACATCTTCCACATCCTCCCCTGAGAGGGAATCTGGGGAGATAGATTTAGCCAATCTTCCTGATAAAGAATTCAAAACAAAAGTCATAACCATGCTGATGGACTTGAAGAGAAATATGCAAGAACTAAGGAGGGAGAATACAGAAATAAAACAATTTCTGGAAGGACTTCAAAGCAGAATGGAAGAGATGCAGGAGACCATTAATGGACTAGAAATCAGAGAACAGGAACACAGACAAGCTGATGCAGAGAGAGATAAAAGGATCTCCAGGAATAAGAATATTAATAGAACTGTGAAACCAATCAAAATGGAACAATATTCACATTATAGGAGTACCAGAGAAGAAGAGAGAGAAAAAGGGATACAAAGTATCTTTGAAGAAATAATTGCTGAGAACTTCCCTAAACTGGGGGAGAAAATGGCCTCTCAGACCACAGAAACACACAGAACTCCCATGACAAGGAACCCAAGGGTGGCAACACCAAGATACATAATAATTAAAATGGCAAAGATCAAAGACAAGGACAGAGTATTAAAGGCAGCCAGAGAGACAAAAACGGTCACCTACAAAGGAAAACCCATCAGGCTATCATCAGACTTCTCAACAGAAACCTTACAGGCCAGAAGAGAATGGCATGATATATTTAATGCAATGAAACAGAAGGGCCTTGAACCAAGAATACTGTATCCAGCACGATTATAATTTAAATATGAAGGAGGGATTAAACAATTCCAAGACAAGCAAAAGTTGAGGAAATTTGCCTTCCACAAACCACCTCTACAGGGTA